TCCACCCGTTGGTTCTTAGAATCTCGAGGACCTCAAGTAGGAAGTCTACACTTCCCTATGTGGTTGGTGTGAACTAACTGTTATGGATCTCATTGACTGATGAAGCCATGTTTTGGTTTGACAACCACTAACTGCTGTCTTTCCGCTTGATCCTTTGTCAGCTAACACTGCGCGTCGAGGAAGCAGACGACTATTCTTGCGCAACACATGTCCTAGCCATCTCTATCGATATAGCTTAACAACCTCGTCGACTGACTTCCCCTTATTACCTAACACTCGACAATTAATCTCAATAATATTCACCCTATTACAATACCCCCTAACATGGGAGACAGAACTCAGACACCCACGGTCAACGACAGCTAGCCTTTTCTTGTATTTCACTTTCAGCGGTCACATCTCACAGCCACTAAGCGTGACAGAGTCAATTACAGCGCAGTGAACATATCCTCTAATCGACACAGGTGAGTACCGCGTGTACTCCAGAGGTGGGCCTTTCCTATCCGTGCTCATTAAGGCTAATGCAACTTTCCAAATAAGCAAAGTGGTCAAAGGACCATAACATTCGACTCCTCAACTTTCTATTTAGCTGGGAGTCGGTGAGGTCCAGTCTTGCAGCATCACCTTACTTTTGACAGGAGCAAATTGCATTTCAACCATTCGAAAATTTCTACTTAAGGTGTTCCGAAGACTCTGTATTCTAGGAACGTTTTCACTTAGAGGGTCTGTATCATCCGCATATTCTAAGTCAACGAGGCTACACCGTGGTAACAAGTTTTATCTTATTCGTGTCGACCAACCTAGATTTTGATATGACTTAGCGCTCCGATAATCTAACTCACTCCATCCTACTACTTTGACCTATGTCTCTGATCTGACAAACCTCTCCTCACCAGGCTATAGTTCACAACGTCCCAGATTCTCTGCCTCTGAAGACTGTAAAACACAGAATCCTGATTCGCTGCGGCATGACTAGTGTTCCATGTGAATGCAAAAGACTTCGTAAAAACTCTAACCAGGCTAATTGTCCCATCATTTTTAAATTTAGTAATTCCCTTGATGCTAGTAAGCTTACTAAATGTCAGGATCACTTAAGGCTGAATAGCAGTTATAAGTCTATAACCGTAGCTCAGGATAAAACACCGTGTCAGCGCAGAATAATGAGTAGTAATAACCTGGTCACCTCCTCTAGCTCAGATTTACCAAAAAAAGATCGTGCACAGCAACAATCACCTAGTGCTGAAACTAGAATTCAGCAAACTACACAACAACCACGCTTGCCAATGGAACTAGGAACTGATTTAGATACCACTACCCCTGTAAATAAGGCCTCATCGAAAGATGTTAAAATAGTTAGAACTTCTGCAAGTTGTTCTAAGAAATATTCCCCCAAACATGGTAACCTCACCACGATGAACAAATTTCGCAGGGTTGAGACTAATGATGGGGAAGAATACTTTGTATTCAATAAGCCTGCTGAGAGTAAGAGTGTCGACAAACCCTCACTCGTTACGAAAATCTCTCAAAACACAAGCATATCTGGAGGTTTGCAGCATGCTCCACCTTATAGAAAGTCAGGCTCCAAGACCCCCAAAGTCTTGCAACCAAAGCACCTTCCCTCACAATTTCCTTTAAGTTATAATAACAACACGAAGATGTGTGCCGGTATGACGAATAGCAGTTGGATGGGTAGACCTTTTGATGCTATGCTTTTTAACCGTCAACCCAGGTCCAACCCCTACTACCCTTATGTCCAGGAACACATGGTAAATTTTCCAGGTGTCCCGAATCACTGGTACGACCCATGGCACCTAGGACCACCTCATTGCACTCCAACCCCGATGTACAGACACCCAGTCCGACCCCGCTATCATTCATAAACTTTTGCGGTGCTGACGCAAAAGTAGATTGAGGTTATGGTGACATTTTAAGCCAGTTTGTAGTATCCCGTGACTTATTCACGATACTGCTAATTAATGCACGTTCCTTAATCAATAAGATGTCTGAACTAAGGACATTATTATAAATTTCCAAACTTACTGTAGCTCTGATTACTGAATCATAGTGCTCATCCTCTGTACTTGATGTGCATATAGGTATCGATGATTACACTATACACCGTGCAAATAGAGATTGCAAGCGTGGTGGAGGATGTCTCATATATACACATAACTCATTTGTAGTCAGTAAGGTGGAAGATGAAATACTGAATAAGGTACCTGATTCACTCTGGGTTATCTTACATGGAGATAAGTACAAACTTCTCATAGGCTGTGTTTATCGAGCACCAAGCGCAACAAAAGAAACTGATGAGTTATTAGCTAAATCGTTTGCACACGCCTCCTCCTTCAGTACTGATTACAAAATAATTGCAGGGGACTTCAATCTTCCAGAAGTCAATTGGTTAAGTAGTTCCGGCCCCCAACGCTTCGACGAATTACTTGCCACTATCGACTGTGATGGATGGCAACAACACGTCCAGACACCTACTCATGGTGACAACATGTTGGACCTTGTGTTTTGTCATGACACAATCCCAGTATCCACGTATGTTGGTAATAGATTTTCCAGTAGTGACCATACAATGATACTCTCTGTCCAAGAACTTATTCGACTCTGTCAATGGGATGACTATTTTACCGCTGACTCCCTGTCCCTATTTTACAGGAATGTTACCCTTTGTCTAGATACTGTTGCTCCAAAGAAAATAGTGAAATTAAGTAGACACCGAGCTGAATATATTCCAAGGGCACACCGCAATAAGTTAAGGAAGTTGAAGAAACAGTACTATTCCACTAAGCATATATCACTACTGCTCTCAATCCACGAGTCTCTTGAATCTATCAAGCGCCTACGCTCTCAAAACGACCTCGACGAAGAGTTAACGGCGCTTGAAAGTACCTTCAAAGTTTATAACAGCACTTATTAAAAAACGAATGCATTCGGCGAGGGAAATCACCTACTTACTTCACGACAAAGTAATCTACAATGAGCCTGCCACCATCTGTGAACTTTTCAGTGGTTGGTTTGCAAACTTTAGTTTAGAAACGCGTATGCCTGGTGAAACCGCCGCCTTTACTAGCTCTTCCCTTGGAAGCATTGTGTTCACCAGTCAAATAATAGAACAAGCAGTTAGAAGCTTAGACCTTCCACTACTACGGGACCGGATGGCCTTGCTTCAATAATTTTCAAAAACAGTGGGTGTGATATACCCCTGTCACTTCTTAAATTCTTCTCAATATCTATGGACACTGAAAATGACCCTAGTGAGTGGAAAACTAGCTTCATAATTCCACACTACAAATCTGGTGATAAGGCAAACGTCCGCAATCACAGACCCATAAATATAACCCCAGTTATCTCGCGAATCATGGAGAAAGTTGTCAAAGATCAATTGTCAGACTACCTACTTAAGGAAGATCTTGTTACAAGGTCTCAACACGGATTTCTGAAGAATAGTTCCTGCGTTATTTGCCACTTCGACTTTTTCAACTGCATCACTAGTAGTCGCGAAGCACGTAAGCTAGTCGTTGTTCTATACTTCGATATATCTAGGGCATTTGACATGGTATCTCACAGCATTCTCTTTGAGAAGCTGTACTCATGTGGAATTCGCAATCCATTACTGAACTGGATAAAATCGTTTCTAAGCAACAGGGTACAAATAACCAAAGTTGGATCTGTATTGTCTCATCCTAGGCAGATGTCAAGTGGGGTTGTGCAAGGTAGTGTCCTAGGTCCACTTTTATTTACAGTCTACATTAACAGGATTTGCAACTGCTTCACCTCAGGTGTAAACCATTCCTATATGCTGACGACCTCAAAGTCGTCTACTCCTGCTACACTCATGAATTAAGCGATATGGTCAATAAAATACATCTTGAACTAAGTAGTCTCGCAACATGGTGTGCTGAATCCTGTCTAAATTTTAACATTGACAAATGTGGCTGGATTTGTATCGGAAACAGTAACCTTGATCTAACTCTTGAAAGAAATGGGCGAAAACTAGCCAAGCCCAACTCAGTTGTAGATCACGGTATCAGATACTCTAGTAACTTAGCGTTCTCTGAACAGACTGATCACGGGAGACGTAAAACACGAAGGCTGCTAGGATGCATAACACTCAATTTCTTTTGTTGTGAAACTAGGTTTTATTATACAAAGTACGTGTCCGACCTATTTCAGAATACTGCCCGTTTATTCTTAGCGGACTCAGACAAAATGACAAGCTTAAATTAGAGGGAGTGCAACGACAGTTTACCTCAAGAACTCTTGGTTTAGAAAGTGGTCTGGAATACTATGAGCTATGCGACAGACCAAGATTAGAACCACTCTGGAAAAGACGTCTTAAGCTAAGCCTTATCTCTTACAACAAGCCAACTAATCTTCTCTTGCACTCCTCCGAGCCAATAACTAAACCTACCGCTGTCATCAGTTACAATCTTAGAAATCATCACAACCTAGCTGCTATTGAGCATTGTCAGACTTACATGCGGTACAACTTCTTCTTAAATAAGCTTTCAGTCATTTGGAATAGACTACCAGCTAATGTACGTGATGCAAACACACTTCCAGTGTTCATCTCCTCAGTCACCAGACTGCTCAAAGATGACAATGCACTTCTACATCTGACTCTTACACCCTCTTTTTCACCCTACATAGATATTTTATTTTTTTCATTAGACGTGTTGTTACAACAAACTACAATTATAAATGTTAATATTATTGGAACTAGATGATAAACATTTCTACACAGGACAGTAATATTAGTTCACACATAATATAAAAGTTAGCATAACGGGACTAGTTAGTTAGTGCACAAAAATAACAATAGTTAGTTAACAGAATATATATATATATATATTTATTAATCACTCCTTTAGGACTCCTCTTGCTTTCTTTTGCTTTGCGTCCTCAACTGGACCTGGATAACTGCATGAAGCATAACATTGTGAACCTGGTGGTCTTCTGATTTCCCTCTTTCCGCGTCAGGACTATTAACTACTCGACGAGTACATAACATAATTGGTGACGGGGAAAACTCTAATAACTCACTCAGCAGCATTACATAACAGTTCTACATTGACTGTACACTCTCTGTCTCCCATACCTTCCTGAACAGCCCAGTTAGAGCCATTGTGAGAGTCTCACCACCATCTTTAAAAAGAGCCGGGCGCCTTATGGCGTTTCAACACTCGGAGTTCCTTACGGACCCCCGCTTCGGTGGGTGGGTCGGTACTAACCGACCAAGGAGCACTGAGGCTAATGACAGTAGACACTGAAGCTAAACTGCTTCCAGAAGTGCTCTGCCCAGCGTTCCAGGCGTCTTTTCAAGCTGGTAATTGGCATGCCATCTGCCTCACAGACTGTCTCGCTGACACCTTGTTTCTTGCTGCCGGTGGCTCGGATGAGTTGGAAGAGCTTCCGGCTGTTGCCAGATGCAGCAGCTGACTCCATCTCACACGCACGTTCTGACCACCAGGCTTCGCGGTCCTTACGTAAACACTGTCTAATCTTTCGCGCGAGCGTCTTTCGCTTATTGTTGTATTCGCTGCCAGCCGGAATGGACCGGCGTTCATCCAGGAGTTGCAAGGCACTCGCAGAAACCCAGTGGTTTTTAGCGGAGAATTCTTTCAAGCCGCATGGCACCTTGCAGATGGAGCCAATGTTCATCTATACTACTTGGGGGGTTTCTGGCAAGCATTGATTGTAACTCATTCTGATATTTCAAAGAAGTAGCAGGTGCTACTAGTTTGCTCACATCAACGTTTAGACGACGGCTTTTATGAACCCCACCAAATCGCAAGACGAACTTGGCACACACTAACGCATGATCGCAATCCAGGCATGTGCTCCAGAAGGAGCGACAGTCTTGTATGCATCCTCACCACCGGAAACTGACAGCAACATGATCAATCTGAGTCCAAGCTTGATTCGCAGAGGGGGGACGCCAGGTAGCGCTATGGCGATGGCTGTTCCGAAGTTGGTGCTGGCTAGAAATAGGTTGAGATCCGCCCAAAGCTGCAGAAGACGGTCCCCATTATCTGACCTGCCACCATGTAGTCCCCAGCCAGCACTACAATATCCCTCCGACCCGCCTGTTTCTAAAGATCGCTACGTTGGTGGTAGAACTCATCCTTCATTGCATCCGGGCTGCAATCCGTCGGTGCATAGGCAGGAACAACAAATAGACATCGCCTATCTGGCCTACTACTCCTTACTTTCGTATAACCTCCCAGCCTCACAGCACATGAACGACTGTTCATAGGAATCCAGTCGAGCAATGCAGCTTCGGCTCTAGCGCTCAGTGCGACACCGACACCAGCTACACCGGATCCCGACGCCACAGGGCCCCCGGATAGGCGCAGGTGGTACATACTGTTAGAACTCCCAGATGGAGAGGATAGTCGAAGCACTTCACTGGGATCTTGAATGCGGGTCTCTGAAATGCAGCCGATATCGATAGCGAGTCTTTCCAAAGTTCTTACCAACCCTGCCTGTTGTCCGATTTCCATCAGCGTCCGAACATTGTAGGTGGCCAGCTTGAACGCGGAACGCGGTTTCAGGATATCTGTGTTAGATGTCACATTGGGGACAACCATTTTGAAGATTACTCACTAACATCTCGAAACGACACAGATAGACTGGCAATCTAGACAAAGGCGAAAGGCTCTCGAAGGTTAAGAAGTCAAGCTTAGCAAAGGTAAAATACAGGAAAATGTGTATAAAAATGAAAGTAAGGAAAGACACAAGTTACTTGAGGCATCATTATTACTTGAAATCATTTTGTAATTGCGTGCGATAAGTTTCATTGATAGATTGTTGCTTCATTTGATTTATTGTGTGAGGGCTGAGAGACTGTCCGGGCGCCCAGACCGAAGCAGGTGGTTTTATTAAGGGACCACACCCCGAGCCTTTGACTTACAGTCTAATCCGCAAGGCAGCGGAGCTGCATTCCCATGGTTCCCGTTGACCCATATGGGTTCATACGACATTTGATCCGATCGGATACTGGAGCCCATGTACCCCATGGTAACTGCTTTTAGTTTAACCGCTATCCAAACAACCTTCTTGACATGGTAGGACCTGCAGGGACATGAGTCCAAGTCAGTTTAGCTTGTTGGGTCATTGCGGTATTCAAGCCCGACCACCACGGCAAGTTAGCAGTTATCGGCCGGGCCATGCTGAATTATTATTATTATTATTACATTAGAAATCAGTTAAAACTTTCTCCATACTTTAGCATTGAAGAGTTGTACCCGAACTAAGGATGCATAGGTGTGCAATCTTTTACAGTCGAGTGATCGTACTACACGGATGAATCTGAATATAAGTTTGAATTTCTTGGACCTCTTCATTCTGCACTGGCCTCACCACTCGGTTGTCGAACAATCACTCCCGCTTTCGAATCTTACCCCCATCCATCACACCACCACTTCAGCCGGGACAACTGTGTAGTATCATCAACTCTCATATTTTAAGTGTGACTCTTAGTCTGTGTCACTCGGATATCTCGTCGCCGCAACTGACTTCTAAACAACTATTGATTCCGCAAACTTCCTGTTCACCTCGAATTTCACTTGGTCTCAGTGTTTATTTAACACACTCAGTTATCGCAGCGATCACATGGTCAGGAAACAAGCTGAGTTTAATAATCAAGCCCCTACTCTGCTCCGAGGTATTTCATTCACACTCAGACGAAGGGATTACACACGTGAATAAGCCTAGATCACCGACCTACAACCCACACGTTGAACATCAGTCATATTTCTCATCTCATTCACTCACATAAATCAAACACTTTTCCTACCTAGCATCGCGCCTTCACAAGTGTGTATGGAGGAGTAGGAGTAGAATCCTTGAAAAGATGATCATTTATCGACTACACGGGAAGAGTCCCCTAACTCTAATTTAATTGCTTAACATTAATCCGTAACCAGTAGTTTGAAAACAACATCATGTGTAATATCCTACGATTTCTGGTTCAAAAGCGGAGTACGAAATCTGTGATGAAGAATAATTTGGCTGACACAAGCCAATGCAGTTCACCAATTCAACTGAACATTCAGCGCAGGACTATGCATAAAAAAGTTCTGACTGGCCCTTAGTGGACCACCAGTAATCTTACATTCCGTAATGAATAAATTACTTAATCACACTTTGATGTTCAGCCTCTGCTATTCCGTTACTTTTATCGATGAGCATATGCCCGAACGTCTGTTTGCACCCATATAGTAAAACACAACACACTGAACAGTACTCACTCTTCATGGACGATATCACCTATCTCAACGACTCCACAAGTACTTCAAGTTGGAAACGTCAAACGAGTCCTTTGTACTCATGCCTTGATTTCAGTAGATGTCATCTAACAACATATAACCTAACTCTCCATAACAATGAAACACATCAACCTACTTAACCACTCCACTCCTTGTCATAATGTCATGTCACCACGTCGACTGGTACAGAAGCAATCACTTGCATCTCAAAGATAGAAAGTACACTCTAAACATCCCTATATTACCACCCGAAATGTTTAAATAACCTCCGAATTTCACTGATGACGCGTAAGCAATACACCAACTAATGCAATCATATTGTGAGCCTGAGAAGAACAACTACACTTTAGAATACGGCACATTTCTACCACTTGACTAATACACTTTCACCAATTCGTGAATACATGAAACTACTTTTCGTCGCTTCCACTGCCTTCTGTCACAGAATGTGTCTGTGAAATTGTCGAACAACACAGATTATCCACGTACACATGTATTTACATTTGTCATTCAATCATTCGCATGAATAACATACATTCCGTTGGAATTAAGAACAACGCAATTAAGAACGCAACGACAGAAATCTAGCATCTTTCAGGCTATGTACAAGAAGGTTTTCAAACGATTAACTCATAATGCTCTAAACATCCCAAAACATGAATCCAATGATGCAGTTGAACCAGGCTTGAGAAGATTTTGACTAGTACCACTGCTAGCAATGCCAGTCCAATGCAGACAGGAAGAGCCCTCACAATGATCCGCTGTACGGGGAATCACTCTGTATTACACAAATAAAAAGAAGATGAAATGAGGACAATCTAATTATTTAATTGTTTCCTGGCGAACGAAAACACACAAATTAATAAAATGCGACATCCTGCTTATTGCAAAGGGAGAGGGGGAGGAGGAGGAGACAATTGACGCTATTTTCAGACGTCTTATTTAACGGTTACTTGTCAAATGATGTAAATGATGAAAAATCAAATGAGAAACTCTGCATAAAACATCCAAATCTTCAACAGTGCGATAATCTTTAGCAAAAGTACTAGACCAAAATAATCCACGACAGTCCCACTATGTCTACAGCCAAACACAGAAGGTTAGCTGAACTACTTGTTCCCTTTTCTCCAACTATAGAATAAACAGGCTGTGAGATTCAGTCAGTTACGTATGCCATGCAACCTCAGAATAAAGCCATCATACACAACACATATCTGACAAATACATGCAATTTTCCACACATATTCACATTCACAAAGTCAAGAAAGTACCACAAAGCATTATTATTGTACTTACCCTTTGTTCACCATTACTGCATCTCCGTTCCGATCACTGAAACAAATCCCCAATTCCATAAGATCTTTTCCGGTTTCTTCCACCAAACACTTGGAATGTCGACAAAGTTATTTCCGGATACTTTTGAAGGTTTCGCTGAATAACTTCATGCATTTATTCCCCTTGATGAATTTGAATAAAGCAAGAACAAGAGTGGTTTGTGCAGAATAACATGGTACCATCATTTATTTCGTTGGCTTCTCATCAGCTGCTTACAGCCTATATAAATTATGAGGTTTACGTACGTACGCATACATTTATTTTGTTTTAACTTAAAACTGCCTGTGTAAAAACTATATAAACGCAATTTTCCGAGCACTGATTACTAATTGTGGAACTTTCTGTCAACTGACAACATGTAAAATTTGCAAGTATGTTTAAACGCTTCTGTACGTAAACCTCAAAATTTATATAGGCTGTAAGCAGCTGATGAGAAGCCAACGAAATAAATGATGGTACCATATTATTCTGCACAAACCACTCTTGTTCTTGCTTTATTCAAATTCATCAAGGGGAATAAATGCATGAAGTTTCTCAAAAAACGCGGGAAGTTAGCATGGGTTCTATATATGATCTTGAAATCATGGTCAGGGTTGACAGAGTGACAGAGGTCGATCAGTTGTTCCAGAATAGAGCTTCGCACACACTTTCCTTCTCTCTCGTAAAACCATGCTGCTTGAATATGTTCTCGTATCCGCATAGAAAGCGTCCGCTGACTACGGCCAATGTACCTTGCTCCACAAGAGAGGCAGGTGAACTGGTAGATGCACATGAAGGCAGCCAGATGGGGGAGCTTATCCTTTACAGAGGTAGAGAACAACTTGCGGCTAGTGAACGTCATATGTAATTTTGCTGCAAAGAACGTCTTACTGACTGATTTAGAGAGACGATTTTTGAGCATATCTGAAGCTTGATCACCTTTGAATTCCGACTTCATGAATAAGGTTCTCTTTGGAACTGAGTCGGTGACCAGTTTACACTGCTTATCTTTCATGTTGCTGTCAATAAATCGGTTAGCGTAACCGTTTTCTGCGAGCGTGGCTTTTAAGAAGTCAAGTTCTGAGTAGATGCAATCAGAACTACAAATTTTCCTTATCCTAAAGCAGAGCGAATGAATTAGGTTCCCTTTCCTGGAATTAGGCACCCAACTGTAAGAAATTAGCTAGTTGTCCGTTCCATGTACGTTTCCGGTGGACAGATCTTTCGAGAGATTC